GCAATGCCCGAATGATGCACCCAGCCATCATCAGCCCAAGCACCTCAAGATGGGGAAACATTTCCAGGACCACCACCCGTGTGCCTTCTCCCCCTCCTGCTGCCCTCACCTGGCCCCTAAACTCAGCACAGATGTCTGTAATTCCCTTCAGGAAAATAGCACGTTTGTGGGGCTGACACAGCCTGGCCTCAGCCCTTCCACGGAAAGTTTTCCCAGACGGGTACCTGTCAGGAGGGAGCAGGAAGGGGAGCGGATGGGGAGGCTGCCGGGGAGCATCACCGCGGGAGCAGCCAGCCTTGCTGCTGGGGCTGCTCTCCGACTCACCGCCCGCAGACTTCCAGCGGGATCTTCTCGTCCTTCATCGTCACAACATGGGGCAGCCGGATCAGCACGTCAAAGCGGGGTGGCACTGCGGGGGAGACCAGCAGGGAGTGGGATCGTGCCCATTTCTTCCTTCGGGAGTGTCTTGCCATCCCATGCGATGGCTCCCAAACACCCCATGTGGAGCCAGCCTTACCATAGTAATTCACGACGAAGGAGTGGCTCTTCCCCTCTACCCTGATGACATACGTGCCCAGGGCTGGCTCTGCAGCCAGCTGGAAGGACAGGTCCACGATGCCCTGCCGTGGGCTCACCTCCCGCCACTCCGCCACGTTTTCCTTGCTGGGACCCTGCACACAGGGACATGCGGCATCGCCCTTGCTCATGGGGCTGGAGATGGGGTGCACGGCGGTGGGTTGACAACCTTAAGGACTCAAGTCGCCCTGTGTGTCCTTGCAAGAAGCAGAGGTTTTACCCTGCCATCATGCTCAGAGTGGCCCTGAGGGCATCACCTCTCCAGAAGGAAAATTTTCTCCTGGGGGCTGTATTAGCTGAGCTCCAGCCTGGCTACAGCAGCCAGAGCTGGCAGGGCCATGCTCCAGCCTGGACTGGGAGCTCAGGGGGTTCTCCAGCTTGGGTCAAAGTCTCTGTGGCAATAGCCACTGCCACCTTCATCCGTGTAACCTGTCCCTTAGCAGCATCTCCCCAGAGGACCCCCTGACTTGCAGGCAGACAGCAAGCTGACCCTGAGCGGTCTGGAAATGTGGACGAGGAACCCAAGCCCTTCTCCACCCTCCTCCTAACTTCTCTCAGCACCCGCAGCAGGGATATCCCTGTCCCTGCTCCTTGTCCCCAGCATCGCACACATGCTGGGGCCCTTTGTTCCTCCCGAAGCAGCTGAGAGGCTGGCACAGGGTGACAACTCACCTGCACGGCCACCAAGGGAAGCTGCAAAAGAAAGAGAGAAGATGCATTTAGCATGATCAAAGCGCAGGGGGCTGAGCTTGTAGCTGAGCTGGGGCTGAGCCTGTGGGATCTGGCTGGGCCCCTACAGAGCCAGTTGCTGGGCTGGGGGCTCGGCAGGGCTCGGAGCCGCTGTCATTGTCCAGCTCCCGCTGCCACCTCCACGTTGCATTGCCTTTTCCGAGCAGTGAAGAGCGAGCAGCAAGGCTGCGCTCTGCAAAGAGCATTAGCTGTGCAATTGGGCCTGCCAGCACCATGTAACACCAGGAGTCTAAAACCAGCGGGCATTATAATGGTGCATAAAAGCTACACACGAGAGAAGACAGGCAAAGGGATGCTGTAAAGGGAATAACTCATCCCCTGTGCCGGTGCCAAAAGCAAGGGGCTGTACGCTGGGCACTCAGGCTGGGAGCACTGGGAAGAGCTGTGTCCCCCTCACATCCCATGTACCTTTGGTGTTTGGGGAATTCCCTCCCCGCACCCATCTCCTCCATGCTTGTGGGGACACTGAATGCTGTGCCACTGCTGCCGAGACTGATCACCTTGGGCATGTGGGGATCCTATTGCCTCTGCGCCCCACCACGCGCCGACCCCGTCTCACCTTCCTGTTGCTGGGAATGAGGTTTTGATCCAAACGGACAATTCGAAACTTCACTGGAGAGAGCAAAGGCAGGAGCAGGAGTGAGTGCTAGGGCCTGGAACCTAAACCTGGGGATCCCATCCCAAGTGCCTGCAAGCTATTCCAGCAGCTCCTGCCCCTCACCAGTTTCTCCAGACTCGTAGATATCCTTGTCTGTCTGCACCAAGGTCGCCAGCTCCAGGACTTTCACCAGTACATTCTTCTGCTCAGAGACCTGCAGGGACCCTCCCTGGATGGAGATGTGAACATGCGCAACCTCGTAGGTCTCTGCAGGACGGGTAGAAATCTGCCGCCAGGGAAACAGCAGAAATGGTTGCAAAGCATTTATGTTGGATGCCAGTGAGACATCACACCTGTCCCCCGTTGTCACCATCCCGCTGCCCCGTGAAGGCACCAGGGAACCGGTGTGCATGGGAGGATGACGCAGATACAGCCCACAAGGTCTCCATACATGCCTCATGTCGCTCCACTCTTCACCTCACTCATTGGCCATCCAGGATGGAGCCCATGTCCCCTCCCAGTTCCCCCAGCCCAGGTCTGGCAGTGGGTGGGGGAGGGATGCCCCTTCCAGAGGTCCTCAGCCCCGCCGCGGGGCCGTGACTCACGTTGAAGTGGGGCCAGTTCAGCTGGAGGATGTCGCTGCCCTGCTCCTCCAGGGTGACGTTGGGGACGCCGTGGCTGCTCGCCATGTGGAGGGTCACCCGCACGGGCGCATCCAGGTCCATGAGGTGGACGTCCACTTTGCCCGTGTAGGGGTAGTACAGCACGGAGGGGAAGACCACCATGTAGCGGCTGGGGAAGGGGCACCTCGGTAGTGGAGGAGAGCAGGGACCCCCCACACCAAATCCCAGTGCTCCCCTCCACTCCAGACTCTCAGGTGGAGGGCACTTGGGTTTTTTTCCAGCCCTGGATGTTCTCTGCAGGGCTATGCCACCCAGCCTTCCCCCAGTCTACCCAGGGAGGCTGGCCAGTGCACACACCAGAGCAGAGTCCCCTTTGCCTAATCACCCTGGGAAAGAGCCAAGGGGTCCACCTGAGAGGGAAGAAAGGCTCTGCTCACCCACTGACTTTTGTGTGAGGTTTGCACCTACAGCAAAGCAGCCCAGAGACACCAACCCCAGGTGCAAAGTCCTCTATGAGAACAACCACCACCCCAAGCATTTCCACCCTGACCAGTGACCACAGTCACGGTATGGATTGTCACGCCGCTGAGACCAACCACCATCCCGCCAGACATGGACAGGGAGACACAGAGAGGGCTTACGGCTTTGCAGATGCTCCATCTGTGAGGTATAGGATGCAAAGCAGCAGGCAGGGCAGCGCGGCTGCAGACCCCATGCTTGGAGGACCAGTGGAAGTAAGGCAGTCCCAGAGCCCCCGTGCTGAGTTTTCTTCCTCTCAAGCTTTCACCTCCCCACCGGCAGCAAGTAAAAGCCAGCAAGGTCTCTGGCTGGGACCCCGCTGTCCACCTAGGACAATGTTTAACCACCAGACCCAAGCTTTGCTGGGTTCAAGGCTCTGAGCAGCCAAACCACACCCATGGTGGCAGGCACGTGGTGGGACCACTGAGCCAGGTCAGAGCTGACAGACTAAGCTGCACCTAGGGAACCCTGACAGGAAGGAAGGGAATAAAGGGGCTTTCTGGGAAATTAGATCCTTCATGTGCATGCTGCCCTTGACCATCTCCACGTGACAGTTCCTGATCCAGTAAGTTGTTACTCATGGGAAAGCTCTTTTCTGTTGCTCATACTTTTGCCTAGTGGTATCTGTCTGGGCAGACGATTGCCACGGTTTTGCACAATTTCTTCCATAATGAGCCAGATGCTCCCAAGAGTGGAACAATGCCAAACCAGAGCACTGCAACCTTGTTTGGCCATGGTTTGCACATCTTATTTGAAGATGGGAGGTGAAGCCTGCCCACCCTGCTCCCAGCACTGGGGACAACCACGCACTCTGTTTCTCCCTTCCCTACTGTCCCCCAGGGTGGCTGGGACAGGAGCTGCTCAGCTGGGAAGGAGTCAGCAGATGCCCAAATCCCTGCCTGGCTGCAGGGAACAGGCCATGGGAGATGGTAGCTGGTGAGTGGGTCTTGTTGTGCCACGGTCCGGAGGCCACGGGGAGATCCCTCCTGCTCCAGGTGGGCATAATCCAGGCACCCCTGCCCTCTGAGGGTTTAGGGCTTTAATGGATGCTCTGACTGCGCACATACTTCTTGTCCCTAAGGCAGGGAGAGGTCCACTTTGGGGGCAGACCTTGCCCACCCCCAGTGTAACTCTCACCCTGCCACATGCTCCTCACACCGTCCAGCATCTCCCCATGGAGAAGCTGTGGCGTCCATTGGGATGCTCAGCATGCAGTGATGCAGGCACCCTGTGTGGCTGTAAGGAGATGGATCCCGCTCCCCACGCTGCCCTCAGCACCTGAGACACGGGCAGGACATCATGCACACACACCACCAGGTACAGACTGTTTAATCTTGCACCCTTGTCTCATAGTTCAGCATCAAGGATGCTCTTCCCACGTGGCAATATCCCCTAGACCTCCTGCTCCCCCCGCAAGCCACACGCTGCGCTCTGGACCCCTCCCCAGAGCTGGCTGCATGTCAACAGCATTGCCAGCTTGCAGGAACCTCTGGAAGAAGCAACCCAGCAAGCCCACAGGTGAACTCCACTGCGAGTCACATCGTCAGGGGTGGAAAATGGTGCAGGGAACCCCCAGCCCTGCCTGGCACATCTCTCCCCGCCACCCAGTGCGCAGGCAGGAGCCGCCCAGGCAGAGGGGGCTTGCTACCCAAGGCCAGACACAGCGCCAGGTCTGGGGGAGACAGGCAATGCCCTGGGGAGGGGATGCACAGTCATAGCAAGGGCTTCTGGGGGCACCTTGCACTGTTTTTGGGGTGCTGCCTGGTTCCCGTCCTGCACTGCTCTGCTTCCCCTTGCACCAGGGCACTGCCCTGCTCTCACAGGCTGCCGGGGCAGTGGCAGGTCTGGTGGACACATCTGCAAGGGACAAGGGGAAGCATGGCCCAGCCTCTGGCTGTGACACCTCCCTTACATCCACGAGGGACTCGGTGCCCCTAATTGCTGGTCCTGGTTGTGTCCTCCTCACACTGCGGGCTGCCCACCCCCTTGCGAGCACCGGCCCCAAGGGGCTGCTCAGCCGCCTCTTCCCCCAAGTGATTTGCAGACATCTCGGCAAAGACATCAGCCATAGCCTGGCGGACAGTCTCTGTCAGTTCGGGGACATCCTTCGGGCTCAGGCCCTGGGTGTCTACCTTGGGGAGGATTCGGATGGTGCACGTCCCTGGAGAGAGAAGGGAAAGGCTGGGGATGCTGTTAGACAAACCCACCAAGAACCAGGTCTTCCCACCAGCATCCTCCACCCCCAGCTGCCTCCCCACACCGCAACGTCCCACAAAGACACCTCCAAGCCCCATGTGCCCCATCCCCACTGCCAGCCCTGCTTCTTGTCCATCATTTACCAGAGGTGAATTTCTTATCCTTGGAGCTGAAGAAGTCCCAGTACGGGGAGATCACAATGGGGAAAATGGGAACCTGTAGGAGATCCCCCACCCCGCTGCCTCAGGGTGCACGCCCACCCCACTCCATCAAGGGCAAGTGGAGGGGGAGGATTGCCTTACCTGAGCCTGCACGGCCAAGTGGAAAGCCCCGCGCTTGAAGGGCAGCATGGATTTTCCCTGGTTCCTGGTGCCTTCAGGAAAAATCAACACTCGGAGCTGCACAGGACAGGGAGAGATGGGAGCATGGACCCTGACCAGAGCACCCTGGGACCTGCTACGTCAGTCCTCCCCGCGCCCCCCCTTGCCCCA